AGAGAATGGCCTCTCCTCTCTCAGAGAAAACGTACACCTCTTGAAACAAAAAAGGACGAAAGAAATACTGCAAGCCAGGGTGCCTCTCACCCCGCGAGATAAAAGGAAGGGAGAGAGAGAGAGATTTGGAGGAATATGCTTCTGACGTTTCCTTTGTGCAGCAGCTGCCGTTACCATGCAGTGATCCTTGTTGCTATGAAGATCTCCGTGTCAGACAATGGCTTTTTTAGCTCTCAGCACTGTTGCTATTGGCTGCTGATATTTCCCAGGTGAACAGGGCTGGTGCTCGAATCATCAGTTGAAAGAGTTGGCTGCAACCGGTTGCCCCCAAGCAGGTCCGGGGAGATGGGAGGCTTTCTCTCTCTTCCATTGCCAGGCTTCGCTCCAGGTGGCATTAATCACAGCAACAGGAAAAAGGGATCCTGGCGTCGGCTGAGGCGGCCAGTGGAGTGCCGCATTCCAGGATAATTAGATCCATTAATGATCCCAGCAGATCAGGCTTGCACATAACAGAATTAGGGAGCCTGCTAAGACAGCTGCCTTAAAATGTTGTTCAGAGTACTTAACACAACGGTTGTCCTGCGGAAGGGAAGGCAGGCAGAACAAGCTGCAGTGAGGAGTCTGCTGCTGCATGGAATCAAAAGCGCAGATGGGCTGCCGAGCTAGCTGTCCCCCCAGACCATACAGCAGAGAGGAGGAAAGCTCCAACTCTCACGTAGATTGTGAACCACAGCCAGGGGTTCTGGGGAGAGACACACACCCTTCTCTGTATGCCACAACGGAGCACGTTTCCTTCCTGCTTTTTCTTCCCATCAAATCTCGGTGACTTTTCTCCTAAGGTAGAATTTGCAGAATCGCCATTCAGGCCAAGGGGATGAACCCATCAGCTATCAGGCAGATACACACGGGGTGATTCCGCACTAGACCTTAAAACCCTGGTACAGCCCTGTCCCCGAGCTTGCATTCTACACTAGAGTTCACTCCTGTAATTATCTCGGGGTATTTTTTTGTTTCCACATTACATTGAGGTCACCCCAGTTTCGCCCCACACTTGTCCCCGGATAAACGGATGCTGTTACAACCAGGGATAAATGCAAGGTATTGTGTCGCGAGTTGAACTCTGATAAAACCAGGGATGAGATCCAAGTGCGGAAAGGACCACAGAGAGACTGATGGCGACAGGGTAACTAGCCAAGCAGCAAATCATACTTGGTTGCCCCCATAAGTCGTTTGCAGCACATCCCTGGCCCCAAGAGAGACAGAGTAGTCACTCCCTGTCGGTTGACAAAACTTTCTCGCAGCTGGGCCACCAGGAAGAGTTCCTCACTTGCCACAGGCGAGGGAGTGAGTGGTCTCACCAGTCACCACTATCTTGGCATTTGATTCCTCCACATAAGAAGTCCCTTCAGGAAAACAGGGACAGGCCCATGGGGAACGCCCAGCAAGCCAGGTGACTGTGGTGGGGCGTGGCAGTCTGGCTGTCCTCCACTTTGCCGCCTCACCCAGCAGAGCAATTTCTGATACAATCCCACAGGGAGGCTGTACCTGTCCCGATGAAGTAGTCCAGGGGCTCCCTCCTCGCCTTGCTGCTAGAGGGAACTTTTCTGACTTTCCCAAACTTGACAACAGCTAGAAACGTTTGAAGTCGGGAAGAGCAGGGCAGAAGCAGCACTGCAGGAAATGTACGGAAACCCAGGGCTCGCTTATTTATAAAAATTGTGTCCGCTGTGGCTCAAGAGGCTCACAGCTAAAACGATAAAACAAAACCCAGCAAAACAGAAAAACAAATGACACCAATAAAAACACAAATAAAACAACCCATGTAATAAATAAATAGATAATAAAAATACCACCCAGAGCAGTCTAAAAATTATATTAGTAAAACAGCCAGGCGAAGAGCAGACGATAAAACAGCTACAGCTATGAGACCCCTCAGTTAAACATGTGGGTAAACGGAAATATTTTGGCCTAGCACCTAAAGGAAATGAAAAGAGGTGCGAGGTGAGTCTCAAGGGGAGAGGGATTTTACGAAGGCAAGATGTCAGCCCTGAAAAGGACCTGTCTCTGGTCATCCACTGGCATTAACTCTGCAGGTTGCAAGGCAGAGGACCTGAGAAGAGGGTCTCAGCTGGAGGCCAAAGTGCCCGCCTATCAAACTCCCCAGAAAGAAGCAGGACTGCTGGTTCTTCAGAGAACAGATCTCTTCTCCCCCGTTCCTATTGTTAGGAGGAGTAAAATAAACCCCTGCCATCTGCAGTGGTCGTGCTGCACACATGAGATTCCTCAACCGGTGAGCACTAGCTCAAAATCCACACAGCACGACTAAATGGGGGTCGGCTGGCACACTTCTTGCCCAGCACACTGATCGGACCCTATGCGCTGGACGATGCGAGAGCTTGGATCTAAAAGATGCATGGCCTCCCGCAGGAGAGATGCCGCAAGTTCTGGCAGCAGGGACCGTGCAGCAGCCAGTGTGGCCTGCCAGGCAAGACCTCTCTGCACACATTCGTGAAATGAGTGCAGGCTAAAAATAGCTAAAGCGGCAGGAATCGCAGAATGCCTCCCAGGCAAGACCTGAAATTATAGCTGTTCTGGAAGGGCTAACGCAGAAGGACAGGCACAGACCAGGGGATGGGGGAGAGGAGAAGGCTGCAAAAAAACCATTAAAGCGTGACTGGGCATCAGCAGAGACCGAGAGAGAGGCAGCTTCACTATCAGTCCTCTGGAAGGACGAAATTCTTTCAGGGTATTTTCACCCCCCCAGAAGGCTGGGTCCGAAGACATTCCCCCCCCCACCCCCGCCTTGCTCTCCATCTTCTTGATAACCTCTGCCTAGAAAAGCGTGAAATATGAAGTAATTCTCATTCCTCCCATTCTCACCTTGCCATTTCTTGATCATTTCAGAGGCTGGGGAGAAGACGAGGACCGCCTGGGACTTACTGGGAGGAGCCTGACACCTAGATTCAGATCAGCTAGTCAGTGGCTTCTGCTTTGTACTCCTTGGGGTTAGTAGGGTGAGAGCCAGTCTTTGGGAACTGTCACTTCTGAAACAGGGAAGCCTCAAATCTAAACTCTTGTTCAAAGCCAGCTAAAGCTATCACAGAGAGGGAGGAAAACACCAGCAGGGTTCATTAAGTTCACCTCTTGTGTCATAACGACTTTAACACGATGTTTATTAGAAGACTAAAAATAAAAGGTTAAAAGGAAAGCTACTAGGACGGGACCATCAACCAAGGTAAACCGGGGTGTGTGAGTGTGAAACAACAACAACAACAATAATAACAATAGTTGGGACAGGTATAATGCCCTCGGATGACACACATCCAACCTGTGCTGCGCAAGCTGCACTGGCTTCCACTGGAGCATCAGATCAAGTTCAAGGTTTTGGCCTTGACCTTCAAGGCCCTTAGCAGTTAGGGACCTACATAACTTTGGGACCACCTCTCTCAGTATGCCCCCGGAAGAGCATTACGCTTAGGGAATAAAAAGCTCCTGGTGATCCTGGCCTGAGAGAGAGCCGGATGTCCTCAACCAGGTCCAGGGCCTTCTTGGCCCTGGCCCCTGCCTGGTGGAACTCTCTGATGGAAAACACCCATGCCCTGCGGGAGTTACTACCTTTCCACAGGGCATGCACGGCAGAGATGTTCCGCCAGGCATTTGGTTGAGGACAGCGACCTGGCACTTTCACATACTCCCCACCCATTCTTCGTAACCCCTCCCCCCTAGGCTTGGGGAGCTGAATTTCTTTCCCCCATCCTCTTAGAATGTATATTGTTTATTTACTGACTTTTTTTGGGTAATTTTTAATATTGGTTTTTAAATCAAATTATTTATTGTATTTTGCTCTGTTGTAAGTCGCCCTGAGCCTTGATTGTAGGAAAGGGAAGCCTAGCAGATCCAATTTAATAAATAAATAAATAAGTAAATATCAGTTAACCTGGACTTTATTCATAGGATTTTGCACAAGGCAGTAAAAATACCAGTGTACAGGCCCAGTGGGTGGGTGGGCGAGAGTACTTGTCATCCTCTCTCTGTCTTATCAAATTATAACCTCTTAGAATCTGTCAACTCCAGCCTGTCTGGCATCGCATCAAGATGGATCTGTAACAGGCCAAGGAGATGCATTTTGCATCTCAGCAAGATGTTGTCCTTGCATCACTCTCGCTCAAGATAATTGACTACCTCCCAGGTCCTCCTGGCTGCCTGCCTAGGAGAATCGCGTCTCTTCAAGAGCAAAGAGGATGGGATGGTGCTGGCAGCAGTGAAAGTGCAGCAGCTTTAAGGGGAGGGAAAGGCACCTGTTATTTTTTTTTTGCAGCTGAAAACAAAGTCATCCCAAGACAGAGAGAGCTCATTTACACATTTGGCAAACATCTAATTTGTGGCGCTGTCTGACTTTAAAGAGACTTAACCTGAACAAAGACCTGGAAAAAGGTTTTGGGGGTTTTTTGTTTGTAAATGCACGGTATAGAAGTGGGAAAATAATTCAGATTTCAAACTCCTATCAGGTAAAATGTGTAGCTTTGGAGATGCATTTGCTAGCTCTTAAATGCAAAACAAAGCACCCTCCACTGGAAAAATAAAAAAAAGGCTTTCTTGTGCCTAAATTTAGGGGCCCAAGTCCGCAAATCAAAGCAACTGCCTAAGGCAAGCACAGCCAACTGCACAGATGTCGGGTGGCTCTCTGCCTCAAGAGCCAGGTGCTTGGATGCTGGGTCAACAGAGAAGGGGCGGGGCCGGTGGTGGAGAAGGCAGGAAGCCATCACAGAGCACCCACTGCAGATGCCTCTGGGGCATGCGCTCATTGTGTACAGGGAGGCAAGCTTGACTAGGTTTAGGCTGCACCAGTTGGGCAGCGGCACTAGAGGGCAGAGTGCCCCGAGGCATGCTTTCATTTTGTGCAATGGGCTGAACTAATTTGGGCCGGGGTGAGATGCTGTGGTCTGGGGCACCGCTGGACCAATGGCGGTCTAAAACAAGACGTCACTGAAGGAACCTACCGTCCTCCGTCTCCTGCCACACGATGCCCTCCAGATTGACGCTGGTACCGGGTTCACAGGGGCCCAAGCACTCTGGCTCGGTAGCCAGGGCCACGTCACAGGTGTTCACCCCCACAGAGCGAGTGCGTACCATTATCTGCTCGCACGGTGACGAGATATCACTGTTGACAACGGGGACAAGAAGATGCAGTGGCAGCACTGCGGGGGTGGACACTGGAGACTCCATCTGGAAAAAAGAAAGAAAGAAATGCGGTAGTTGAACAACAAGTGAGCAGAGATGAATGTGGGGCGGCTGGGTCCCTTCCTTCCAAAACATCCCCAAACCAGGATGGTCTGCCGCTGGTCCCAATCTGCAGAAGAAGGTACAACCAGTCTGCATCTAATAAATCTGCTGGTGGAGAACAGAATCCAGCAGGGCTGCTGACATCCCTGACTGGCACTGCAAATCCAGCATGTTACACAGCCTTGATAGCTGGAGATGTCAGCGCAGCCATCTGTTCAAATGTTCATACACAGCCAGAATTCTGGCACGGATGTTCCAACCTCATTTAATCCATTCTCCAACACACACACAGTGTGTGACAGTTTTGACACAATGGGGAAGGCTGTACTCCAACCACTGCATGCTATGTTCATTTACTGCAATGTGGCTTGTCCTGCCCTGCTTTAAATGTCAAGAAAGTGTCTGTGCTTAAAAATATACTAGAAAAACATGACTGGCTCTACGGTATGCCTGCAATGGTTCACAACATATCTCAGTAGCTACGGTGCAAGCAATGGCAACCCGTGTACTGCATGGCTCCCCAGTGTTAATTTGTGTATTTGTGTAAGATGGTGGCCCTGACTGGGCAGAAAGGCGGTATACAGATTTTGTACATAAACAAAGTAAATAATAAAGACGCATCCACGCCTTCAGTAGTCCCGTGTCGTCCCCCCCCCCCACAGAATGGACTCTGAAGAACAAACTGTGCTACTAATTCACACTAACAATGTTTTGTAACACAGCATGCCCAATAAAAAAAAATACGGAGAACATACGGATTGCAATTACTATAAGGACAGACACCAGAAACAGGAACGGTCCGTAGTAAATCAAAATAGTTGGAGCATAGGGGATCACACTGCAGGAGCACAGAGAACAGCAGAATCACCAATACATCCAGGGCAATGTGCCCATAAGAAGGGGAGATAATTTCAGAGCTGTGTCCACTTGCCTGTATCTGTACAAAACAGAATTCCCATGCTGGCCCATCCATGTGATCACCACAGAAAATAAATCCTGCCGCCATACCCTGAAAAGGCATCTGCCACATGATGGTTCTGGCTGCTTTCCTGTATGCAAAGTTTTTCCTGGGAACCAAAGTCTCTGGTTTGGCTTTTTCTCCCCCTCTAGAACACTAAATACTTCAGAAGCAGTACCACATACCAGCTCATCTGAACTATTACCCTGTGGAGGGTCCTACTGCTTGGTACAGACGCATGACAGCAAAGAGCAGAAAACCTTCAAGCTGACACTTTGGGAAATCTGTCTACTTTACACAGAGAGTGATTAGAATTTGGAATTTGCTGCCAGATGATGTAGTGAAGGCCACAGGTATAAAGAGCTTTAAAAGGGGATTAGATAGCTTCATGGAGGATAAGTCTATCAGTGGCCTTGGTGACTGAAGGGAACCAACACATTCAAAGGCACTAAGCCTCTGAATCCCAGAGCTAGGAGGCAACATCAGGGGAAGGCCTTGGCCTTTATGCCCTGTTGTTGGCTGTCCAGAGGAACTGGTTGACCGCTGTGTGAGACAGGATGCTGGACTAGATGGACCACTGGTCTGATCCAGCAGGGCTCTTCTTAGGTTCTTATCTACAGGACTGCTGTTCTTGCTTCCGGATGAGCCCCAAGTAGGTATCACCAACCCCCTGTGCCAGGAGATAACCCTGCACCCTCATTGCTGTAGTCACGTAGGACCACAGGATAGATTTATCCAGCAGAGACATCACAATCTGCTCCTGAGTCCTGTTCCCTGGAAAAGTGGGGTTCTTCAGGCTGGAAGACAGTCTTCTGCTCTGTTTCGCTGGGCCAGGAATTTGAGCTGAGGAGAGATTGTGTGGCCAGTTTACCTGGGCTCTTGCTTCTGCTGGCTGAGAAAGGGATGGTGAAGCTGAGGGAAGCTCCTCCCATTTGCCGCTGCCCCTCTCCACGACTTTAGAGGGACCCAGTTGGGAGCTACCTCCTGAACTACCATCTGACCCTTTGAGGCATCAGGTAACCCGCCACTGTGGTGGGTGAGAGAAATACATGGAAAGGGTGGCACCTACCCTGGAGCTTGCCCCTGCTCCTTCTGCCGTCTCTTGCCTGTTGTTTGTTAGCTTAATGCTGGGCAGGTGTCAGCCTATGGCACACTGCTGGGGTTCTGCCATGTCCTCCTCTGCTTGCTGATAGGTGGTGCTTCCCCAGCACTTTGATCAGGAGCAGATAATGTACTTCGTTAGGTCAGGAGACTGCTCCCTGTGAAGATGTTCCAGCTGCCTCACCTCCCACCACAGTGAACACCCACACGCCTTATACTGAATCACACCACTGGTCCATCAAGGTCAGTGTTGTCCACTCAGACTGGCAGTGGCTCTCTAGGCCCTCAGGTGGAGGTCCTTCACATCACCTAGTACCTGATCTTTTTACTTGGAGATGCCAAGGAGTGAACCTGGGACTTTCTGCATGCCAAGCAGAGGCTCTACCAGTGAGCCATAGCCCCTTGCCTGAGAACTAAAAGGCAGCTCCCTTTCTTTCTAAACCCATGCAGAGGGGGATTGTACAGAAGGGAAAGAGCTGAAGAGAGACTGGTGGAAAACCAAAGTTCTAAGTGAAGCACAGCTCCTTGCAAGTCCCAAGGCAGGAAAAAAACTACGGCAGGGGTGACATCCTCCCATTGAGACCAACCATCCTGCCTCCAAAATCCTGGTCAGTAGGAGCACCTGTCAACAGAGACGATCTCTCTTCCTCTGAGAAGCACATTTCTACATTATTCTTGCTACAGTGCCAGAGGCAAGGGTTAAATTTGCAACTCATTACAGAAGCCTTCGTCAAGTCTCAGGGACACTCCTGTACTGACACTGAAAAAAGAAAATGGCAGGAGCAATGGCAATGCAAACTCAGTGTCCTGTTAGAGAGGCAAGAGGTGCTCTCACATTTACCCTCCAGCGCACACAATTCTCATTAAACTTCTGCAATCACAAAAGCAATAACTGAGGGAAACAGCTGCCTCCCCTTTGGCAAGGTTCGGTGCCTGGGAATGTGGGCTATGCCGAGCTCTGGGGATGGATTTTCACTTCCTGTCGTGTTAACACAGCAGAACAAAAACACGAAGAGTGTCTTTTGCCTGCTCGCCCGCATTTGGCTCCTGCGTAGGTCCTTGCTCTGGACAGCTGAACAAAGCAAATCTAATCTGATCAACATTGGCTGCCAGTTTAATCGGCAGTGACTGAGCTGGACAGATCTGCACAGGAGGTGGCAGGCCCTGAGCCGCAGCTCTCCCTGAAGCAGGAAACCTGTGTCTTGGTTGTACGACTTTGTTCTGCAACTGGGGGTTCACACAACAGAATACTCTCTTGTGGAAACAGACTGAAAACCAGCCTGTCAAGGAGGAGGCTAGGCTTCAGAAATACTTTTGTGAGTACATATACACACCTAACCACCAGCTCAGTACAAATTCATGCAGCCAATCTGATAGACTCTTGCCTATAAAACCTCATGCCACATTAAACCAGTTTGTAAGTAAACCAGTTTGGTTGGTTAGAAGAAGCCAGGAAACGGAAAAAGGAACCAACACGCATGTCTGAAACATGCCCCTCTATTTCCAAACTGTGTTTGGGAGGATTAGAATGCAATGTCTGAGCCTACATCACTGTGTGAATCTAATACATATATTATGTTTTAAAATGCCTTATGTGAATCCTCCCTGCTTGAGAATTCAGTCCACTGTAATACATATTTGATATTAGTTCACACTTTCTTTACAAGTTGCTTGGTTTCCTCCAAAAATGTTTGTCCTTGGTAAGCGGTGGCCTCCTTTTTAATATTTAGTCTAAATTTCCTGTCATGAGGAACTTTGCATATTATATTTATATTTTGATTAGGAGTAAGACCCGTTGTGGGGAAAAATACAATGAGCTCTAGAAGTGAGTGTCCCGACTGTTTCTTTCCTTCTGCTTAGCTATAAGGCAGGGCTGTCTCAAGTCATTTTGCTGTCCCAAGTGGGTAGTATGGGAGGACAGCCTCATGGTAACAGGTATGGTTCCCTCCACCCCTGACTTATGTTGATTTGGGGTTATGCAGTGGCAGCTAAGGTAGAAAAGCACCTCCTCCTTTACCATGTCTTCTGGGTTCCAAGGGTCTGGAAAGCGGTTCCATAGCCAGTTACAGGGTTGCCAACTCTGGGTTGGGAAATACCTGTAGATTTGAGGGGTAGAGCCTGAGGAGGGCAGGGTTTGGGGTGCAGAGGGACCTCAGCAGAGTATAACTCCATAGAGTCCATTGCCCAAAGCAGCCATTTTCTCCAGGAGATCTGATCTTGGAGATCTCCAGGTGCTACATGGAGACTGGGAATACTAAGGGAAGGGCCAGACCTGTAGATTTGAGGGGTAGAGCCTGGGGAGGGCAGGGTTTGGGGTGTGGAGGGACTTAACAGCAGGGTATAATGCCATAGAGTCCACTGTCCAAAGCAGCCATTGCAATAGCTGGGGGATTTTCTGTAGGGGAAGTGATGTGCTGTTGGGGAACACGGTGATTTCTGGGAGATCTCCAGGCCCCACAGGGAGATTGGCAACTCCAGTGACCATTTAAGGGAAGATTGGGATATGTATTTTACCTCAGGACACATTCAATGACTTGCAACAAACTGTTTAGAATATTAGAGGCAAAGACCAATCAGGCCACATATGCAAATGACCTCTGTGTTCCGACTGGCTATTGGGGGACGAGGAACAGCAAACTGTTTAGAATATTGGAGGCGAGACTCAGGCAACACAGCCAGTGGATAGGGACAGCTTCTGAGTGACAGATCAGGGAGTGAACTGATTTGGGAGCATGTGGAATGTTCAGGAGGGTCCATGACCAAAACAGAATTATATAAAAGGAGAGATGTGTAATAAAATACTGAAAGGGAGCTTTAAGGGGGGGGGGGAGAACACCGCCTTTATCTTAAGTGCAGTTCTCATGACAATGGCAAGCTTGTGTCT